ATAGACCCTAGCCGCTGGTGGAAGCTGGGTAAGCGGTGAAAGGAGGGTCGTAACAGTACGTTTTATGTAAATAATAAAATTTCGATTGAAAAGTTTCCTAATATATATTACCAGGTATTTTTTGTTTAGTTTTCGGTAATAGGTTAGGTTGATAATTGTGAAACGTGAGAATAGCTAACACTGGTTGGTACCGACTATGTTCACGTAAACCTAAGGAACCAAGCATAACGACTCTCGCAAGACAGTCCATGCCCAGTACTTGCCAACAGTGCGTATCACTACGTGACCGACCGCTCACTGCCAACAGTGCGTATCACTACGTGACCGACCGCCCACTGTCAACAGCGTATCAATACGTGACCAAGCGGCTAACGAGCCGATCAGTGGCGAAGAGGATAAAGTAAATGTATACGAGAATACATGACTTTTCCGACCTAACTTAACATCCCGGCTACGTAGCCTCCAGTCTGTTCTTTTGGTGACCCATTTTCATAAGGCCGCAAACTTTCCATTTGTCACTTGACAGAACTCCGTAACATATCCATCGGTTGAAGACCGTCTCCTATGTATAAGATAAGTCCTCACTGAAGAGTGAATATCTTCTGTCCTATGTGGAAGATTTGAAATATCTTCCTGTTTGGGAGTTTTATGGAGAACTCCCCTTATGGAAGATAATATTTATAAGATATTCCTATAATATGGTCCCTAGTATTCTTCCATAAAACCACTTTACAATGTTCCCAATAATACACACGTAGTGATTTATATTTGTCCATGCTCCTTCCCACCTAAGGCTATTATTGGGTCAGAATTGTAAATTTAAGCATTAAATTAAAGGTATAAAAATTAATAAACTACATGAAAAAAAATATTTTAATGTAAGAAAATCAATTACACTTGTTCCTCAACATCCACCGCAGTTTCTATACTTTGGTAAGATAGACAATAATCAGAACCAGTGTACTCATTATATCGTTTACCTATTTCATAAACCAAACTTAACCCTTTAAAGAACTGTTCCATGACGTCTATTATACACCTGTAAAAAATTATCCTTGTATGTGAATATAGCTCCTTACTCTTGGGAAAACTAAACAAAAAAAATAGTTTCCTTGCTCTTGTAAAAATGAGTTTCTTCCTTAGATCAGCATATTTTATGAAGTCTAATCTTCTCTTTATATGAACATTCAGTTGGATAATCCTTCAGAAACTGTAACACTTGACTCGATACCCCGCTGCAAGCCATGTGGAAGTTATATACGGTAAGATATGCTAAATTTAAAGGACACAAGTAGTTGCCTTTCTTCATGTGTTGTATTATATCAACGTCTTACGTTTTCTGAGAGCGTTAAAGAACCAGGAGCTTATCAGATTCTTCTAGAGAAGCCTTCTCTTCTTTTAGTGACACCTCGTGCTCAGACAGTACAATAGCTTCATCAAGTATATTTTCCAGTGTTTCACGGATACCAAACCTAAAAAAAAGAAAAGAAGGTATTAGGCATCATGATACGTCACGTGACATGGTATTAAGTCTTAGATATTTGTGTTCAATACAAAGCTCTATGGGGCACTTCACATATGGATGAAGTTAAATCCGCAGTAAAGTACTTATTTGGTAATTACAATCATCGGACAGTTTAACACATTTTGAGATCGCCTAACATTACAGTACTCTGCTTTCAATAGTTTTTCTGATAGTTGTAATTGCTTTAAAAATTACACAAGGCTTTAGAAAGGAAATAAAAATGCAGTACCTATCACCTAAACGTATCACATGCACCATGTTATGTTCACACTAACAGGATGTACGGGTCTCAAGACAGACTGTCAAGTTTTTGCAAGTTATGCATGGCAGCTTACACAAATATAAAATAGTAATATTTTTTTTTCCAAATCGGCGTTGAAAACGTAGAGCCAGCAACATCCAACCCATCTTCATTATACAAATGACAACTGAAATGCACGAGTCGAACATCGTCTAAAATCATTGCTGTACTAAAATCTTTGAATTCAACCAATCTTGGTCAAACTTAATGATAAAGGCTAACGAAAATACACCTTTCATTTCCGGTGCACACACACGAAAGGGCATTATCTGATGAAGCGTCAAGCCCCACATAAGGGAAGGAAAGCCAAATTTGTTTCATACCACCGGAAACTGGCATATAATCGTGTTGTATACGCGTATTAAGGTAATGCGAAAAATATTAGGTTAAACAAGGGGCAAGATACTGTATTTTTTTTTTCCAGTCGATGCTATTTTATTGTTTACAGCCCACGTATGGAGTTTAAGCGCGTCATAAGTGACCTGACTACTTTTACAGTCGATGGGATACGGGTTCTATTAAGTTTGCATCGGAATTAGTTAAAAAGTACAGTTTTCTTTGAACTATAAGAATATACATACACATTTAATTAAAAATTTCCCTGTATAACTGATCACTACAGGGTAGTCACTTCTTTGAATATGGCTTGCGTTGAGTTCTCATTAAAGTAATTCTGTATCCTACAGTAGTTCACTGAACTAGGCATACGGAAAAAATGTGCGCTATCCTGACACTCCATTGTAAAATGTAATGGCATCGGAGTGTTATAACCAAATTCACTGACATGCATTTACAAACACACAGTTGGTGATGTGTTAGTCGTTTTACCGAGATGTACTGTATTTAATAACTACCACTAACCAAACTAACTAGAATATTAATAGTATATAAAATACAGTATAGTTCTTGGTAAAGCAATTCATGCGCACCCTGCGTATAAAATCCAAGAGCAGTTACCCTGAACTACTTCAAGCGTTTTACAGAAAACCTTGCCTACTTAAAGTTAAACTTTATTGTTCTACACCATCCCACCATGGTGGGTAAAAAATAATATCATCTCATTCTACTTTCCTAATAATATCTTTCACTTGTACAGTACAATAGAGAAAACTTTTCCGTACATTAAACTAAACTGAAACACTTTGACCAAAATAAATTCCATAATTCTCACATTATCGGCGCTGAGCTGTCAGTCCTTCAGTACACTAATAATTAATTCATCAATCGGTGAGATATAAATATCTGGTAATCATGATGCGGATTTTCTGACCCAGGAACACCTCCCAATTCCCGTTACAGTTGATGTTAACCCAAATATAAATCAAGGGATAGATGTATATTAATATTTTAACTCAAAACCAGTACGTATTAAACAAACTTACAGAAAATTAAACAGGAAATTTGTAATTTCACTCTCATCAATTTCTGCTAACTCATCTTCTAATTTTCCGACTTCGTCTAAAGTTGTATCCAGCGATGACTTACTTGTATCTGAATCCCCTGTCCCTTTCTGAAAAAAAAATTAATAAATTAGAGAGAGAGAGAGAGAGAGAGAGAGAGAGAGAGAGAGAGAGAGAGAGAGCCTGTACTGTAAAATGCTTATTTGTGGCTAACGTAAGTTACTGATGCTTCCTAAAACACTAACCAAGTTGGCATATTCGAAATATGGAGAAAAAAATTAAATATATTGACGCAAAGAAAATTGCCTGATATTTCAATGAACTGCTAATTACCTCGTCCATTTCGTCTATTTGAAGCATTACTCCCTCTATCTTGCTCATTAACTCTTCTATCTCCAGCTTGTCCTCAGGTTTTTCTGTCTTCTCCAGCTTGTCCTCTAGTTTTTCTGTCTTCTCCAGCTTGTCCTCTAGTTTTTCTGTCTTCTCCAGTTTTTCCTTTAGGTCTTCTGTCTTCTCCAACTTATCCTCTAGTTTTTCTGTCTCCAGTTTTTCCTCTAGTTCTTCTGTCTTCTCCAGTTTGTCCTTTAGTTTTTCTGTCTTCTCCAGCTTGTCCTCTAGTTTTTCTATCTTTTCCAGTTTGTCCTTTAATTTTTCTGTCTTCTCCAGCTTGTCCTTTAGTTTTCCTGTCTTCTCCAGTTTGTCCTCTAGTTTTTCTGTCTTCTCCAGTTTTTCCTTTAGGTCTTCTGTCTTCTCTAGCTTTCCATCGAGTTCTTTTACCTCCGACTTGTCCTCTACATTTTCTGCCCCCTCCATTTTGTCCTTTTGCTCTTCCACGCTCATCAGCGGTTCTGTTTTCTGCAGGTCTCCGGGTAGCTTTTCAGTCTTTAGTTTGTCCACTAGCTCTTTTGTCTTCTCACTGTAATGCAAATGTGCCTTGACATGAGTTAACATTAATAAAACATTAAGTTTATTGTCATAAATGAAAGACCGAGGCAAAAAAAAATCCATTTTATGGCCATTGGCATGAAACAAGTGACAGAGATATAGCATAACAATACCCCCAGGCAGAGCCCAAAGAGCATGCAATACTTAATGACAAGATTACGTTATCTATGTGGGAAATAACAGCCTTCTCACAAACAAATCCAGAATCAATAGTTTTCCTAAGGACCAGTGAAGCTTTAAGTCAGGATTCATTAACTCTCAAGGTTCGATGCATTTCAAGACTCACTTTCCATTATGGGGTTACTGGTCGCCCCTTGAAGCTTCTCAGTGCCTTGCCAATTAAAAATCCCAAGCTATAGAGGAGATAGGATTCAAGATCACTCGTTTCATTCCGTCGGCAAAAATAAAAAAATAAAATAAAAAATATTAATATAATAGTGTGCTTTCACCCCCAGATTTATGTTTATGAATCCGCTTTAGTAATCTACAGTATATAAATTTACTGTGGAACAAGAAGTCAGTACCAGGTTACTGGATACCATGGTTATACCAAACGAAAAATTTATTCAGATTAAATGTCCTGTTTTCTGTTTAGGTATCCACCGAACAAGGCCTTGTTGAATGGCGACTAGGATAGCTTACCAGTGGATGACTGTTAACCAATGGTCAAGTCCCAAGGGCATTGCTGGGGATGCTCAAATCCACAATAACTTTACAAATTGATCGGCAAAGTGTCAAAAAGAACTTTTTATCTAAAACTGAAATTGTCTTCACCCTAGAAAAGGTAAAAGAAATCACTGAAATGATATGAACAGACTGACGAAAGTCGTATTCATGATTTCTCCACACACACAGTCACTAAATAGGAATACTCATCGATTACTCTGTAAAAAGCAACTGACGTTTTTGCCAAGTAAGAATTTTTTTTTGTTTTTATTGGTACAATAGAAATTTATTAGTATATGGTAAAAACAATTCCCTTTATGACATCATTTACCATCATAAGATAACCAAATTACAGTATACCTAGAGTAGGTCAGGTTATGTCTGAAGCTATTCCTTTAAATGTTCAGCAGTACTGTACTGTATAATGGTTGTCTACAAGATCATCTATGGCCAGGTTACAAAGTTATTTCGCAATTATCCCTATTTAGAGTAACACAAAATAAATTCACTAGAACTGATGAAAACAGCAATATAATTTCAAATATCCGCAATTTTAAGCTAATGCATGTTTGAAAATGTATTTACTTAATCTATGGTAAAAATAATGACACCTATAAAATTTCAGTACGTAGGCTACTGTATACTACTCTGGATACCATTTACGTGACGCTGCTGATGAACTTGGGTGGGACACAATTAAGCACGGACAGATTGGGGCAAATCAATATACAGTACCTCGCCTCCTGCATATACCTGTACGTTTATATAATGGAATATGAAAAAAAAAAACTTACTTGATGCTGGCATCCACAATGGACTCTTCTTTCTGATGCAATTCTTGGCTTATACAACTCTCAGTCTTCTTTGCTGTAATGTTATAGTACATTGATAAAAGGAACCCGCAATGTTTTATCTGCAACTAATATTTACTATCACTATCAGCACTACCCTATACACCCAATTCCCATATAACTTCTTATCTTCCCTATGCAGTATATATATTTATAAAGTTACTTATAAATTTCCCAAATCCTATTAAAGGGCCATTTTTTTTTTTTTTTTTTTTTTTTTTTTTAAACGGGGATTAGCCCGCCCGGGCACAGGTCACTGACCCACATCAGGGCCTGGGGGGCGAAAATGTAATAACAATAATACTTAGTTCTTAGTAAATAAAATTTATAATAAAAAATAAAATAACAGCAACACTGATGATGATAATAATAATAATAATAATAATAATAAAGAACTACAAATCTTTTTAAAAAGATCAAGAGTGAGAAACGATATATGTATGTTGTGTTCTCAAAGTACGAGAAACAATTAAGACTGCAATTGCGTGTAAATGTGACAGAAAGTCAGATCAGCAATGAATGTCCTACCTAACAGTTAATTTATATGCAGGTGTTGTTAAGCCAGTTCCCATCATGTGATCATCAAAATGTCGCCTTCCTCTGAACACCTTTAGGTAGTGCCTGGTTAGGTTAAGTAGTGCTTGCTTAGCTTAGGATACGTTGTTATACAGTATTAGGTAAAAGGTTATGTACGCGTGCATGTGTGACTTCATTGGCGATAAAAGTGAATCGTCGAAATGGGAAGTAACCTTTGAGACACCCTAAAGTAAATAAAAAAAAAACGGTAATTTTGAAACATGAAAGCAAGTCCCGGGTAGCGATATAATGAAGGAATGAATAAAACGTTAGTAAACATAAGGGTACCAGTACAATGCAAAATCGGCGGATAGGAAAGGTAAAGACAAAGATGGAAGGATGGGATGAAAGACACTAGAAGTGGGGTGAATAGGCATACAGCATTACAAGTGAAAAAAAATAGTTTAATTGGCGATTATCTGTACTTAGCGTAAAGCATATGTATATATAAAATTCACTATCTTTATTAACTTTCATGAGAACTAACCTTTCAATGTCCTAACTATAGTTCGAAGGGTTTGAAGCGTTGTTGCCACGCCTTCAACGTTACGAAACAACTCGAATTCCCGCTGAAACAGATCTTCCATGATCTCATCAATGTTGTTAACCTGGAAAAAGATCACTTAATACATTTACAGATGAAACATTAAAATTCATGTCGCTTACCGGTAGTTATAGTATGTCATAAGCTATAGTATTTGCATGCTAAGCTGGCCCATAAGTCTATAACTACAAATAGCTGATTGGTTCTCCTGAGAGTTTTACCTTCCCCCTCCCCCTCAACTGCGTGTATATATATATATATATATATATATATATATATATATATATATATATATATATATATATATATATATATATATATATATCGACCTTTTATAATAAATATTTACATTTTTCTCGCATCCTCTCTGAAGTGCTAATGCCTTGAAATAATTTGCCTTTTGATAATCCATATATTTAACATTATTTTAGATATTAACAGGTCTGCTTACCAATTCTGAACACATTTAGTTTGAATTTTCTATGAACCAATCAGCTATTAGTATAGAAGAGGAGTGGGGCCTATGGGCCAGGTTAGTGTGGAAAGGGAACAGTAGTACAATAAATTTTATAGCAGATGATAAAGAATTCTTAAGATTCAAAATTATGACCCTTAAATTATTATTCGGAAAGAAAAACTATATGCATCGTTAATCAACCGCTGCGAGGATGAAGACGCAACATGTCCTCTCGCCGAGCTAACGGGAACTTCTGCTGGGTTATCGCGTACTAAGACATAGCTATTGCTCTAGTCATAATAAATATATCAAAAGGAATGTACTGTAGCTATAGCCATTTTTTCGAAAATGATTACCCAAATTTTAAGTTTCATTGCCTGTCGTAGAAAATTAACTGGTGCATGAATTATCCTTTCCTAACAAAAATCACTGAATTATAATATTCCATACCTCCTTTGTTAGTTCCTCATGTAGTCTCTCCTGTTTACTCACTGTAATGACTCTGTTAACACTCATCTTGAAATAAGATAAATATTCAAGTAATCAAGAGAATGACCAGACCTTCTTCCGTCAATATCCCCGGTTAACTGAGGAGACGCGGTGAGTAGGCTGACGACCGGCGAACCTATGGCGGGAAAACGTCGAACGAACGAAAGTTCTAGAATCCTTTTCTTTTATATCTTTATCTATGTACTTTGAGATTAATTAACAACAAGAATCTCCCGTGTGCAATATTCATAGGGATTTTTCACTGAAATTTCTTACATTGCGTGTTATATTTAAAAAAAACACTCCTCGGTGTTTGAAATTTTCATGATTCACAAATAACTGAAGTGTCATTATATCAGATAAAAAGAATTATTGCAAAATTCTTATCTACTGTATGTAGGCTGCATATGACAAAGCAATTAATGAATAGCGATTTAAGTCATCAACTGTTAAAATTTATATGAATTTGGTGTAAAATTATAAAATAATTTGCCAATCAGAGAAAAAAAAAGGTTATTCCATATTCTTTCGCAATTCAAGAGCTAAATTAAATGTATGTTGTATTTTGACTGTTGCTACTTTGGCGGATAATTGTTGGCTCATTTAGTTCAATAATTTATGTAAGCTTAAAACCTATCTCGATTAGCCCTTTCACCGCGTGTCACGCACTTGCCATTTTGTTCTGGCTACTTCCAGACGATTTTATTCAGCTGGGGGGGGGGGGGCAAACTCCCTCTGTGAAAGAGTTAAAAACCCATCTCGATTAATGCAATGGAGATAAAAGAAAAAAACAAAGGTTTTAACAGGAAAAGTGATTTTTCAACTTCCAAGTTGAGAAGTTTTTGTCAGCGGGGAAAGTTATCGACTGAAGATTGCAGGGGCGGATCCAGGAGGGTGGGTCCTGGTGAATCCGTACCCCTCTCCCCTTTACATTAGAAAATTCCAATACCTTTTCTTTGATAATGTTGTATTGTATTCTGACATTTTGTATAGCAAAAAGTAATTACCATGGGTATCAGAATATCTCCTAATATCAAGTTCAAATGGGTTCAAAATGCCCATGATATTGGTCATATTAAAAAAAAATCTGTGGGTGCTTACACCCCCTCCTCTAAAAAACTGAGCTGGGTGAGCTTGCTGTGCTCGCCATGGTCTCCCACCCACAACTTCTTGGACCCCCCTTTTTGATATTTCTGGATCCGCCCCTGGATGGTGTCGTCCCAGCCTCTCTGAAATCTTGATCATTCTCCACAGCAGCCAATTTGTAATGTCACTGTGTGACAACACGTGACTAAGGTTAGGTTTGGTTAGGTTAGGTTATATGATAAGTTGCTTTTCAACGGGAAACGGTCGAAGTTTCGTAAAAAAACGCGTTTTTTTACTTCGTGATTCTCAACTCCGAAGTTGAAAAAACAAACAAATTGTTTAGCGTTTCCACTAAAAAGACTATCTCCAATGCATTAGTCACCAATTATTCAGCAAAATGAGACCAAAATTAGCAGCAATCAAGATCCAAATAATTACCCCTCAGGGATATGTATACAGTACGCAAGATGAGTAGCCGCACCAACTTATGAATAGACAGCAACATATTTAATTGGTAACAACGGTTTCGGCAATATCGCTTGTACCATCAGACATAAATGATGAATTAACATGCAATAGTATATAAAAAAAAACTAAATATGGTAAACCAGATCAACCACAGCATTGAGTAAATTTAATGCCTCACGAAAAAAAATATTAACACATCAAAACAATGAATTATTAATTGCTAAAATTTGATGCTATTATGGGCGTGCGGTCTACACAATATTTAGGTTAGGTTAGACTAAAAATACCTTTGAAGACCGCACGCTAAAGTAGCACCTAAAATTACTATACAGGGTATTGTATTGAACGAGACCACAACAGGACTCCATCCCTCCCCCTCCAGCCTGCCAACGTGCTGTGATGTTAAGAGCAAGGGTTATTTCTCCAGAATTCTTGTAGGAAACTGTATATTCCCACGGCCTACTAGGACCATATACTTATATATCTCTACATACTGTATCTACTGTATATTTATGTTGAACTGTTTAACTACATATTTTATAAACTTGCCTACATTTGTAAATCTGTATGACTATTGAATTATTATTATTATTATTATTGTTGTTGGTGTTGTTGGTGTTACACTAGGATTTTTAAAATTTCATTTTGTTACCCATATAGTTTTGACATTTTCTATGATAAAAATGTCTAAACTATCAGTTTAGACGTAAATGTATATCAAATGGCTGAATATTGACATATTTTGGTTTTTAAATTACAATCGATAGCAAAACATATGAAATTTCTAAGCCAAAGAAAAATACTAAACATTAAGAAATTATGTAAACAGTAAACAGCTGTGACTGAGACTGGTCACTGTCTCGTCTGGACTGAGTGAACTAGGTAGTACAGTATCCAGTGTTGTGCTCCTAAGAGGAAGTGTATGGTAGTGAATGTTCTCATAAACCCTTTTTATATTAAAAGGAGAAGACGTTTAACAATGTCGTATTTGTGAAAACAGTTAACAAAAAAATTTAAAGTCATCTTTTATCATGTAACAATGTAAAACTTATTGAATATACTGTACTGTGTCCTCACCTAAATTTTAAACTGAACAAAAGCTGGTCAGAAATAATATAATTGTCTTCATAGTGCGGCGTATACGTACATCATGTAATAAGAGAGAAGACTTTTGTGCCTTTAATGTCAATAGGCACAGAAGAAACGTCTGTCAACCTTGCAATGGCCATAAGGTAAGACGCAGACAGCAAGGTGTATTTCTGGCAGGGTTGGAAAAAATCATGATTTATAAAAAAGTCGATTTATTTGATTTAAATCGTATTTTTTAATTTAAATCGATTTTTTTTATTTTTTTACTAATTGCATTGAAATAGTATTTTTAAACCATAAAAACAGTATTTTTCAACCAAAGCTTATTCAGGATAATAAACAGAAAATTGGCATTAAGATATTTATGCAGCAGATGTACCAATGGAATTTAACACATTAATATTCTTTTTGTAAAATAAAAGAAAACTGGTAACATATCTTACACTTGAATGCACAAATCCAAACGTAATAATGAAACTTAACATAAATGCTCTTATAGGATTACAGTGTTTCAAAAATTAATAACTTAACTTCTTCTGGTAACAAGTTTATTTTCTTACATTTGTAGGATTATAGTGTATTAAGAATTACCGGTAATAACTTCAAGTCAACACAATATTCTCATTCTGTAAACAACAAAAATAGTTCAAAACATTTAAATTAGCTTAGTTGAACATTGAAATGTTTATGTACTGTGACAAGCTTAGATGCCTATTCCTGTCCTAGGCGATTTCTTACCTTTGAGTATACAAATCCATATGGGGAAAAAATTCTCTCAACCCCTGCTGATGATGCAACAGCTGTAAATAATTGCCTAGGAATATCCATTACATTTTCTGTCATATCATTGGCAAAATACTGCCACCAAGCAAGGGGTGAGAGAGATTTTACAACATCTTTACCAAAATAGACCTCTTTAAATGGTGCACATCTTCCATGGAAGGACATTAATGTTGAAAGGAATGTGGAAGAGACGCGCACACATACTGTTCTGCAATGTCTCGCTGGTCAGGAGTCAGATGTCTGCCCTGATACCTTGGATCTATCACATTAGCTAGAAAATGGGCAGGTATCAATGCTACTTTGATTCTTTTTTCAAATTATCCATATCCTTCTTATCTGTTAAATACTCCTTAATATCAGTTTTCAGTTTTACCCAGATTTCTACAGCATCACTTAATAGGGTATGTTCTCTCTGGACACAGTCCAATGCCACAGCCACAGCAATAGGCTTAAGTCTTTCTAAATAGTCTTCTGCAGTTCTTTTTAATGCCTTATCATTAACTTTCCTTTCAATTTTCTTATCAATGTCTTTACTATTTTCTTTGCACACTTTGACAAGGGTTTCCCAGTTCTTTAAATAAGATTCAATAGAATCTGTCACTGTGTTCCATCGTGTGTCTGATGGCATTGCAGTACCTGTACTAGCATTGTTCCTCCTGCTCTTCTATACAAAGATCCTGGGCTGTGATGATTTCTGAAGTATTTAATGATTTCAGTAATGTGCTCCTTAATGTTCTTGATTTTGCAGGTCTTGTGAAAGCAAATTTAACAGGTGTGCAGAGCAACCATATGTTATAATCAGTGGCGTGTCGTGAGAAAAATGCTAGGGTAAGCAAATGACGCTTTCTTACTTGTAAAGTCACGAGATCTAAAAGAATTCTTTAGTAGATCACATACAGGCTTTGTTGGTTGGTTGTTTGGTATTTATTTGTGATTTACTAAAAAAAATCCAACTTTTCCATTAAGGGGGGGGGGGTATCTAAAAGAACTAATGATTTCCGGCCAAAATGAATATCAAATTTGCTTGAAGCTCATCAAATGCCATAGGAAAAACCTATTTTTAATATCAAAATAAAGACTGGTGCAATACTACCTACTCCATCAAAAGTGAACAAGACATGGTGAAACTTGTGACTGAGCGAATGTAATAATATTTAAAAATTAATATCTTGATTATCCTTAATTTCCTAATTTAACCTAGTCGGGGGTTCTGCCCCCAGACCCCCGGTAGGCCTAGCTTAATCTAACCTAACCAAACCTAAATGTTTTCGTGTGAAACTTGTGACTGAGCAAATGTAATAATATTGAAAGATTAATATCTTGATAATCCTTAATTTCCTAACTTCCCTAGTTGGTACCTAGTCGGGACCTCTGGTAGGCCTTGCTTAACCTAACCTAACCAAACCTAAATGTTTCAATTGTTTAAAACTTTGGGGTGCACCACGTCCGAAAGTACAATACATTAGTTAGAAGTGGATAGCGTGATCGTCTTTCTCGTAAAATTTGGCCATAACATAAGAACAAAGAATGGAGGAAACTGCAGCGGGCCTATTGGTCCATACTGGGCAGTCCCATTTACACCCAACCCCTATTGCTCATATATCCATCCAACCTATGTTTGAAGCTATCCAGCATATTCGAGTTAATGTTGATATTTGGTAACTTGTTCCACTCGTCCACTACTCTATTTCCAAACCAATGTTTACCTATTTCGCGCCTAAATTTAAATTTGTCTTATTTAAAACCATTGTTGCGAGTTCACTCCTGGTTGGATAGTTTGAGTACCTTTGTAATGTCCCCTTTGTTCAGCCCTGACTTCCATTTATACACCTCTATTATATCGCCCCTCACTCTACGTCTCTCGAGGGAGTGCAAAATAATCGTAGGAGCAAGAATGACAGTCAAACTCCACCACGGCCAGTGTCAGACTGGTCAATGAAATTAAAATCTGTACCCAGGCTGCTTTCTTTGAAACAATTAAAATGTGATTGGTCGAAAAATATTCGCGTGATGATATCGATACATCATTGGTCACGACTGGATGACGTCAGTCAATATTGCGCATGCTTGATGCACCGATAATATCTCCTCACAGAGATGAAGACTTGAAAACTACTTAAAATCAATTAAATTCAATTGTCACTATTATCAATTTCCGCCTGGTATATATGGGGGTTCAAAATGCTCAGAATAGGTAGATCTAAATGTTTCAGTAGTTTATAGCTTTCGGGTGCGCTGTCTGAAAGTAAAATAATACCAAAGGATCAAAGGTATTATTTTTATTGTTTCCACCCAAGGAATTTTGAGAATTTTATGGTTGCAATCAATATTTAAACAATTCTAAGACTTTTCTTCTAATCTGTTTCCTTCACAAATGACTTTTATATGCCTGGCCGATTAGGAGGTTAGGTTAGGTCATTTGTGAGAGAAATGTCAGAGACGAAAAGTGTCTTAGAATTGTCTAAACTATTAATTGCAACCATAATCTCAAAATTCTTTGGGTGGTGACAAGTGAAATTTTACCGAACCAAAGGGTAAACGTATTCAACCTAACAGTGCTCATGTACAGTCGATCAAAAAATTATCTTAAACAATATGACACAACAGATGATGAATTTTGACAACTCTAACGAAACAACAGAAGTTGTAGTGTTCCTGCTGTGATTCATCGATCACCCCAGTAAAGATAGTTTTTTTTTTTTACCAACTGTACATTGATAAACATCTTACCAAAAACAAGGGTAATGCTGGAACAGATGGCTAATACCAGGATTGGCTCACTTTTGTTCATTTTTTTCCACAGGTATTCTTTTGGTGATTGTAAGTAATAAAAATAATACAACTTTTATATTGATTATGAGTAATTTTATTTACAGTGGGGTATGCTATAACGAATCTAATTGGTTCTAGAACCTTGTTCGTTATAGCATTCGTTTGTTATAGGATTAATCCGTTCCAGGCCCCCAAATACAACCACTTAACACTGAAAAATATAATATAAAATTGTAAAAATTGTAAAAAAGTGCATAAATATGCATCTAAACCCCTGAAATAAAGAATATCATTAATATTTGTAATAATAAAACAATAAATTAGAAAAAAAAAATTATGTTTGTTGTAGGAGTTTCGTTCGTTATAGCATTCTCAATTTTATAGGTAAAACCGTTCGTTATAGGAATATTCGTAGTAGGATCCGTTCGTTATAGCATACCCCACTGTATAATGTTTTTTCTTTATCAACGATCATAAATTTCCTTTAGTGGGCAGGGTATGAAGGTTGAGGGAAATTACAGGGTAAAACACTGAAAAACTGATCAAATGACTCTAAAGAGATGTTTTTATGTGCTTTGTACGTGAAGAAATTAATTATTTACCATAAATATTCTTCCAAAAAATTTATGGTTGTGTGTTGTCATCTGCTCTTTGTTAACAACCAACCCACTCGGTCCGAGCGTATTCTTACATCCACAAAAAATGGAAAATTACTCCATGATGCTTCAACAAAGTTGATTTCATTGGTACCAGATATCAAAATAAGTACTTTCTGTTTAATATGACAGGGTTAGGTTAGGTAAGGTTAGGTTAGATTAGATTAGATTAGATTAGATTAGATTAGATTAGATTAGACTAGACTAGACTAGACTAAAGATATCTTCATAGACAACACACTATAGTAGCACCTCTACCAAAGTTGTGCCATCACACCACTGTCACCATAATGCCTACTACAGGCATTACAGTCATCACCACTGTGACTATTGCCATCGCCACAATTATCACTCACTATTAACACTATATCTGATGAGAGAATTTAGTGACTGATGAGTTGGTAGATACAATACTGTATAATGAAAATACAGTACCAGGTTTTCATGGTACGTACATCGTTATGTTCTACTTTTGAAGTCCTTTCATATTTCATTTTGGAAATTTGTACCATCCATGTTTTTTTAATCATTAAATGTATCTACAACAATAAGTAATTCCTATCCATACTCGCCATATAAGTAAACAAATAAAACCGAATGGTCAGCATAATTAATATCACATATGAAATGCAATAGTTGCCTATACAGTATACTGGGCTGTATCATTATCACTCAATGAAGACCATAATTTTGCAGTACACTGTATTAGTAAACAAAAGTATAAACAGTATGATTAAATGAAAGAATCAGTATGAAACTGTCGATTTTAATGTGCATACAAAATGTACTCAAAAGCACAAGATTTTGGGCTCGCAGCATAAGATTAGCACTTACAGTATGCACTAGAGGCCATAAAAGTTAGTAATCTACTCCACTTCAAGATCTGTAATAAGTTTAAGCTATGGTTACACATGAAGCAAACATGAAATGTT